TCACCTTACATGGACCATCACAATCGCCTGATCATCCTCAGCCCAACCGAATACATGTTTCCGACTTTGCACACTACGCCCCATTTTTTTACAAGCGCCCCTTTCAACAATCGGCTTCTCTTAGAGGTTGCTCAAGAGAGAGAAGTCATGCATCCGGGGAGAGTATTCCACTTCAGAATAACCCTTCGCCCTCTCAACCAATCAAACGAGCACCCCTCACCCTGGACTACATCAGTGTACCAAAACGATGGTGTGAATCAGCACCTACACACCCAGAATGGCATTGGGCCCTCCACCTTCCAACCACATCAAAATCAAATGAAGATTCTTGCGTGGAACTGTAGGGGGGTTCATCGCTCTGATTTTTATCTAGCTGCCCGAGACTTAATTGCTCGTCATAATCCACACGTGTTCATTGTGATGGACACTAGGATGACCCCCGAACGTTCTGCTACGATTATTCAACGTTTTAATTTCACTGATAATACTATAGTTTCTGTTGTTGGCTATGCAGGCGGTATCTAGATGCTTTGGAATGCTGCCCAAATTACCCTTATACAAACACGAGTATCGAATCGTATGATACATGCAGTTGCTACTCTCAACCCGGGAACTCCTCATTTCCTGCTGACGGCCATGTATAATTACCCGCAGACTCACTTGCAACCTCAGGTTTGGCACGAACTCATACAGACTGCTAATTCTATTAATCTTAATTGGGTAGTAATTGGAGATTTTAATAACATTTTGCATGCAAACGAAAAAAAAGGGAGGAAATAAACCGTTAATTTCAAAAATATCCCAGTTTCGCAATTGCATGGCACAATGTGAACTGTTTGATTTGGGTTTTTCTGGACATCCATACACATGGAATAACCGAAGATTTGGAAAATCTTTCATTTGCGAAAAGCTAGACCGGGCTTTCGCTAATCATTCCTGGCATAATCTGTTTCCCTTCACTAAAGTTTATCATTTTACATCTAGTTCATCTGACCACTCTCCAATTCTTTTAGATACGCATAGCAATCATTCGAAATTCAAAAAACCCTTTAGATATGATATTGCATGGTCTACTCATGAGGCTTTTAAAAACATTGTTCAAAATGCTTGGTCTAATTATCAACATGGTGTCTACCCTCATGATTTCTTTAAACACTATCAATCTTTTAAATTTAAAGCTCTATGGTGGAAAAAACATATCTATGGCAACATAGATAGGAAAATAGATACCACTAAAGAACTTATAGAACAAGCTACTTCTGAGTTAGACAACTGTTATTCTGACTCGATTCACAATAAACTTAATCTTCTTAAAACTGAACACAAAAAGCTGCTCGCCCAAAAAGAATTATATTGGCGTCAACGATCAAGGGTTGCGTGGCTACATGATGGTGATAATAATACAAATTTTTTTCATGCTTTTGCATCAGATAGGAAACGACGCAATATGGTCCAAAGTCTAAAAACAGAATCCGGAAATTGGATTTATGACCTAAAAGAGATTCAAACCTACTTTGTTACTTTCTTTTCCAATCTCTACACTTCTAATAATCCTCGTACACATACCTTTTGTGACCTTGACTGTCCAAGAATTCCCACTACCGCCCACAATTCTTTGATAAATAATGTGTCCGATAGTGAAATTTGGCTCGCCTTAAATCGAATTGGATTGGACAAAGCGCCTGGTCCCGATGGACTAAATGGCCATTTCTTCAAAACATACTAGGATATTCTAAAGGTATCTGTTACAGATACTATCCAGCATTTCTTTCTAACTAATAACATGCCACATTATCTTAACAGCACTCGGATCATCCTTGTTCCTAAAAATAACAACCCACATCTCATCAACCATTTCCGGCCTATAAGCCTCTGTAATGTAATGTATAAGATTATTTCTAATATTTTGGTTAATCGCCTCCGCCCGATTTTGAACACTCTAATATCCCCTTTCCAAAATGCTTTTATTCCCAAACGGTTTATTGGTGATAATGTTATTATGGCGCACGAACTACTCCACAATATGAAATCCAAAAAATCTAAAACTTCTTACATGGCCCTAAAAATTGATCTTGAAAAGGCATATGATAAACTGGAATGGAGTTTTATCAGTACTGTCCTGAACAAATACAATTTTCCATCCCCAATGATCGACTGGATTATGGGTTGTATACGATCTGTATCTTTCACCCTTTCTACGAATGGATTCATTTCACAACCTTGGAAACCCCAACGTGGGCTGAGGCAAGGTGACCCCTTATCCCCATACATATTTATTTTATGTTTGAATTTTCTTGTGCAAAAATTTGTTGAAGGACAGACTAACAATCAATTTGATGCTCTTAAATCTAGTAAAAATGGCCCTTTTATTCCCATTTTGTGTTTTGCCGATGACTGTATTATATTTTCTAAAACAAATCAAAAATTTGTTGATTTTATTCAAAACACTCTTTCTCTTTTCGCAGAAGAATCTGGTCTCAATATTTGTTGGCATAAGTCCAAAGTTTTTTTCTCCAAAAATACTAATAGTACAATTCGAAGATCCATTTGTGATCAGCTTAATATAAAAGCTGGTAATACGGGTGAAAAATACCTTGGCCTCCCATTAATTATTAACCGAATCTCAAAGACAACCTTCTATGATATAATTCTCAAAACTCAATCTCGAATTTCTAATTGGTACAATAAATACTTGTCATACGCTGGAAGATGTACGCTTATTAAGCATGTGTTAAATACCCTTCCTAACTATACCATGAACACTTTTCAACTTCCAGCAGCTACCATAAACACACTCTCTTCCCTTAACAAAAAATTCCTTTGGAACTCTACATCTCAATCCCACAGAAAAAGTCTTGTAAACTGGCATTCTGTTTGCTTGCCCAAAACCAAAGGAGGACTCGGTATTCGCGACCTACACGTTCTAAACAATGCTTTTATCCTCAAGATAGCTTGGCGACTTCTTACTGATCCATCATCTCTTTTGACCAAACTTATGAAATACAAATACTACCCAACAAATACCATTCCCAACGTAACTAAACCAAAACCACACCATAGCAGTATTTGGAAATCAATATATAAATGTATTCATAAACTGAGAGAATGTCGGTTTTGGCTGGTTGGCAATGGCGAAAAAATTAATTTCTGGACAGATAAATGGATTGATAATATTATTATAGCCGATTATGTTTCTTGCATCCCTGATCATCTAGTAAATCTTAGAGTTTCTAATCTTATCAACCCGATTCATCAATCATGGGATCTTACTTGTGTTTCAAGTTTTATACCCCAATATATTGTTGACAAGATTTTGGCTATTCATATACCCGAACATCGTCGTAAAGATACGTTTAAATGGGCATTTACAAAAGATGGCATATTCACCCTCAAAAGTGCCTACCTTTGGTTATTTAATGACCAACATTCAAGTTTTACTCCTTCTCTCCCATGGCAAACCATTTGGAAATCCACGGTAAGTCCGCGTATTAAATTTTTTCTCTAGCAACTCTCTCATAATTGTCTGCCTACATCCGACTTCCTTTATAGAAGAAAAGTGTTAAGAATAAATACATGCCCGTTGTGTGGAACCTACCCCGAAACCATAACGCACCTTGTCTTCCAATGTCATAAACTCCAACCTCTAATCCGCAAACTCCCACACGTTCCCTCTGAAACTACATCTCATTTTTGTAGTCTCGCATATGCCCTTTCGAAAAAATACAAGACCTATTCGAACCAACTTTACACCCTCCTTTGGTTTATCTGGAAAGCTCGTAACAACTTTATTTTTCATAATATTCCAATAAATATAAACCAAATCTGGCTTCTTGTGAAAAATAGTTTCATCCCTAATATACCACCTAAACCTAACAAAATCACAATAAGCCTTCGATGGCAGCCTCCACCGGATAATTGGTACAAACTAAACATCGACGGATCAGCCCTCATGAACCCCGGAAAAGCCGGCATATGCGGCATGATCAGAGATAACACATGAACATTTATAATGGCATTTGCGAAGAATATTGGGTATACTACTAATAATGCAGCAGAAATGTGGGCACTATACATTGGTTTAAAAAAGGCAAAGGAACTTGATATACATCGACTTGTTATTGACACCGACTCATCTTTTCTTTTCTCTTGCCTTGACAGGAAGGAAGCTCCTCCCAGCTGCATGCAAACTCTTCTGAAGGACCTTCGCAGAATACTATCTAAATTCTCGAAGGTGATGGTTAACTTTTGCTATCGGGAACTAAACTACGTAGCGGATGTATTAGCTAAAATGGGGACATCCTTAGATACGGATGAAATTTTGTTGTACGATAATTGCCCCAGTTTCCTAGAATATTATATGTATCAGGACCTTTTCTCGGTGTACTCTCGTAGTACATCCAATCCTTGTAATCGTACTATGACCTTAAGTTCTTAATATAATATATCGTTTGTTCTTGTTCAAAAAAAAAAAAAACAATTCTTTTATGGCAATATAAATAGGGTTTATTTTACATTACCACAGGCTTCCAAATAATTAGAGAAGTCAAATCATTCTTTGATATATTCCTAGAGAGGTGAAAGTACTATACTACCATTATATGCAATTTTCGGTCAGACTGCATTCAGTATTTCTGGTCTTATTCTTAGCATTTTCGCTGATTTATTTATTATTATTTCTTTCTTTTTTAATAAATCTGTTTGTTAAATCTATTAATTTTTTTTATTTTTTAATTTTTTTTTCAAATCAATATGTTTACCGTATTTAAAATAACTAAATGTAACTATGTGTAAATGTAGTAAAATTTAGTAATTCGTAGTTGCGTTCTTTTTTTACCTCATAATTTTAGTCGATCAATTATATACACACACCGATACTGGCTTATAAAAAAGAAATTCATAAATTCCAACAAGAAAAAATTACAAATTTCAATATTTTTATTATAAATCACCTCAGAACCAATAAAATACAAATCGAAAATACACAAATATATGCATATGTAACTAACTACATGTTACTATATGTAACTAGTAATGTATAGTAATATATAATAATGTACAGTAATGTATACAGTCTGTTGAACATTGTAATTTGAAGTAGATGTAACTTCAACCAAATTTTTGACACCTTCCAGGAGATGATCAATGACTTTCATTAAACTGCAATTGAAACATCAAAAAAAAAATATCTTAGTACAAATCAATAAAAATTGAAGAAACATCAAAACACTTAAAAATCAACAAACACTGAGAGATCGAGAGATATAGAGAGAGGCTATAGTTGGGAAATGCTACGAATTTTAAACCAAACAGCCAGTGACTCCTCACCCCAATCGCCTACTACTAAAACCCTAGCCGCCGCTAATAAGTAATAACACCCAAGTTTCCGCGCTCACAAATAAAAAAAATTATAAAAATAAATCTGACAATATAAAAATGAACGAAATTACCATCAAAATATAAATCTCGATGAGAGAAATCCCACGGTGGGTAACCCGTCAAATTCCAACTACCGGAACATAAAATACACCTCCGACAAGACCCACCGTCGTCGAAACTATGCGTCGACTGAAAAAAAATTGCAGAGACATATTGAGTGCTCCAAACTGAATGAAATCGACACTAAAAGAAAGAGTTCGACGAGAAGAATGCAACTGTAGTTAAACAATCGAATTCCGACCACCGGAGAGAGAGTTATGACTTCGGGAAGCAACTGAGATCTATGAAGGCTGGATTTGATCTGAGAGTTGAGAGGGGAAAAGAGAAAGACGACTGCGAGTGGCTAGAGTTTAAAACTGATTTTAAAAGGGCATTATAGATATTTCAGGATGGCCAAGGGGTATATCAAATTATTATCGAAATGGAAAGGATTTGCACAAAGATGTAATTAGCTTGATGGCTAGTCCTATATAATTTCGAAATGGGAATCTCCAAAATAATCTCATATAAATACAACCTTTTAACATTTGAGTTTAAGCATATTTGGTGAATTAAAAAGTCATTAATAACTATACTTCTAAGTTGATAAGATGATTAGGGTTTTCCAGCTGCCGACTGGAAAAAGAAAAGAAAGAATTTATTCACGAAAAACAGGAAGTTTCAAGGCTCTTTCTAATAATTGATATTATTTTGCTTATTAGAATTATAAAAAATAAAAAAAATAATAAAAAAAAAAATAGTGCAGCACTCTTTTAATTTTCATCTTGCCACCAAGGAACTGCGCGTTTTTGAAAAACCTCAACTTGAATTGAGAAGCTTCAAGGCAGTTTCGTTCAAGTTTGTGCAGTTTCAAAATTTCTATAAAAAACCTTACCCCTCCCCTCTCTTCAGTTGGACTATCGATTAGGTAAAAATAAACTGAAAGAACCAAAAAAAAAAAAAAAAAAAGAAACGAAAAATAGTTCAACTCACTGAGTCACTCACACACGCTCAGTGAGTCGTTCATACTCATCGATTCCTTACCATTTCTGACACACATGGGCTGCTAACGTGCGCATGATGGTGGTGTAATAGTTTACCGGCTGCCACGGAAGAAACAGGAAAATCAAGACGATGTCGGAGTCGGAGTCGGAGTCGGAGGAGATCTCAGCTGGTTTCGACGTCGAAGCACAGCAATCACTTCTCGGAACAACGTCCGTACCGCCGCCCGCAGAAACAGCCACCGCCAGTATCAGGTCAATTATTTTGCTCATTCGTTCCACTCAACTCTTCAAGTTGGGCGGCGCCGGAGCTCACAACTACCACGATGCCGCCGTGGCCGCCGATCATATAATCAGCAGCAGCACTACTTCTTCACCGCGGTCAACCTCAGCTGTTAGTTACGCTTCTATCCCCATCTCCGCCGATGATCAGATTCTCATTAACATTCCGGTATATATATATATATATATATATATATATATATATATATATATATATATATATATATATATATATATATATATATATATATATCTTTAATCAAACAATTAATATCAATTGATCTTAAAAATTACTTGTATTAATAATTAATTTGCATACTAGGGTTCAACGACGACGACTCTGCATGAGGAGACCTTGACCCCACAATCGGTCGTCAACATCGAGCTGCAGCGCGTAGTGCAGATTAACAACATCGCCGATATTGTGAAGAAGAGGAATCTGCGAGAACTCAATGATTTTGGAGGTGTTAGAGGAGTGGCAGAAGCATTAAGCACAGATCTGGACAAAGGAATAATAATCTCAAACCCTAAAAAAACCTGCACCCAATTCAACCCTAATACCCAACTTCTCCTCACTTTCTTCCATTCTTTTCTAGAAGCTTGGAACAACTACACCATCTTTCTTCTCTCCTTCACTGCGATTTTGTCTCTAGGGTTCGGAATCAAGGAGGAAGGCTCGTGCATCGGCTGGCTCAACGGCGCGCTCATAATTCTCACAATCTTATTTCTTGTCACGTGTACTGCCGTACACAAGTGCTGGGAAGAGAGGTCACGTAAAAAATTGGAGAACAATTTTTTACGTGAGATTTGTAATAAGGTGCAAGTACTTAGAGGTGGGGAAGTTGAGTCTATTAAGGAAACCGACCTCGAAGTTGGCGACATAGCAGTTCTGAGAAAGGGAGATCGTGTTCTCGCCGATGGCATTTTCGTAGATAGCCGAGTGTCGCTCGAGCTAGACAAAAACGGCTTCATAATCGATGAAGAAAACCCGTTTTTGTTTTACGGCAGTAGAGTGATCAACGGAGATGCTCGGATGCTGGTCACATCCACAGGCATGGACACGTTGTGGGGTGAGACAATGAAGAACCAGCTGCTAGGGTTGGACGACAAGAGGTGTAAATTCGAGTCTTATATTCATACTTTGAATACATGTATTCATTTTGTTGCGCTTGGTATAACCATCCTCTTCATCATAGTGCTTTTCCTTCGATACAAATTCGGAAAGTTGGATGACGAGAGGAGATACAGGCCGGAGTCGAAGGGAGAGCCTGTCTCTGTGAAAACTATAGTGGAAGCTATGAAAGGAATCGTTACGGGATCTAAGCCGACGACTAGGGTTTTGACAACTTTGTTAAGTGTCTCGTTGTTGGGGGTAATGGAAGGTATGCCACTTGTCATCTCGATTGCAACAATTATATGGAGCCGCAAAACACTAGCGTGCAAGGCCACTGAGAGAGATTACCTTGCTTGCATTAGGATGGCCAGTGTCACTACCGTAATTTGCGCCGACAAATTCGGAGGGCTGACGGAGCACGATTGTAAAGAGGTCGAAATCGACAAGTTTTATGTTGGTGAAGGATTTGTGTGTGAAAGCTCGGTTGTAGCATCCAATGTTCTCGATGGTTTATGTGATGGAATCGGTACGGTTTTTCTGACACACGGAGATGATTATTGCGGGTCGGAATTAGGGGAGATGGTGTCGTGGGCCGAGGCGAAATTGGGCATGAAGAGAGAATCTGTGATTGAACAATGCAAACTGATAAGCTATTGCAGTGTGAACATTGATCCCTTGCAACAACTTTGCCAAGTAGTAATAATGGAGAAAATTAGTAATGGGAGATACTTACATTGTAAAGGACCACCGGGATATATACTGTCGTTGTGTTCACACCAGTACGATGCTGACGGGAGAGTGCAGGAAATAGACGAACCAAAACGGAGAACCCTCGAACAAGCCATTCAACATATGCAATCTGATGATCAAGTGAATATTGCATTTGCTTGTAAGCGTGTGACGACGGATTTCAATCATGAGTCCTCAGCACCAGTTGAATCGAAAGACTTGATCTTCTTAGCAATGATTAGACAGAGAGAAACAAGAACCGACGATACGAAGCGAGCAATCACATGTTTGAAGGAACACGGAATTAAGACAGTTCTTGCCACAGGAGATCATGTCGATGTACTTGTAACCATTGCCCGAAACTGCGGGCTGTTAACTACCGACTCGGACGAAGATTTATCAATTAGTATTACAGCCGAAGAATTCCGCGCATGGAGTGATGAACAGAAAATGGAGCAGGCAGACAAGATTTGTGTAATGGGAAACTGTCTCCCATCCGACAAGATCCTTCTCATCGACTTCTTGCAAAAGAAACGGCATGCGGTGGCGCTTCTAGCACAGCGAACAACCGACGCGCCTGCACTGAGAAAAGCTGACGTGGGCATCACTTTCGGATCTTGGAGCTCCGAGTTGGCAAGAGGGTGCTCCGACATCACCATCTGGGATGGTAATAACCTCTTCACCTTTCTGCTAAACGTCGTCGTAGGCGGGGTCCATTTTCAAGAAAACATCAGAAAATCCATCCAGCTCCAGCTTATCGTCACGATCTCAAGCACGCTGATCAACTTCACTGCAGTCGTGATCCTCGGAGATTCCGCCGTAACAACCGTCCAGCTTCTCTGGCTGAATCTGGTCGTCGCACTCGCGGGACTGGCGCTAATGCTGACTGGGCCGCCGGAGGTGACGTCATCGTCAGGAAAGCTGATGACGAAGGCCATGTGGAGAAACATAGGCGTTCAAGCTGCGTACCAGACGATAGTGTTCGTGGGGATTCAGCACAGAGGGCAGGACATGCTGGGAACGAGTGGGGGGCGAGTCAAATCGGTGATATACAACGGGTTGTACCTGTGCCAGATGTTCAACAAATTCGTAGCTAGAGAGATCGAAAGGAAGAATTTCTTGAGTGGTTTATTTGAGAAGAAGAATGTTTGGTTTTGGGTGGGTTTGGTTGGGTTCTTGCTGAGTCAGGTAGTGTTTGCGGCGGCGGAGCAGGTTATCGGGGGCACTCCGGGGTTGAGTTTTCAGCTATGGGGTTTCTGCTTCCTAATCGGCGTCGTTTCGTGGGTGCTGGATTGGATTGGGAAAACTGTCTCTAATCTCGTTGCTGGTTTATTTTGGGAAATATAATTTATAATGTAATTAATTAATCTCTATCCATTCGGACTCATTTCAAATCCATTTGTTTCAAATGTTTCAATCTAAAATATATACGCAGCAGCCTCATATTTTGGTTCCAAATAGATAAGTTCATCTTTTGTTGGCTATGCAAGTCTTGAATCTTGATATATATGAGCAAAATATTTCCAACATATTCTTTAATTATTAATTAGCTAAATTTCTTACACAAAATTTTTCTATCTTTAGCATAAAACACCACACTAAATTCCCTTCTTTTTTTTTTTTTCCTTTATGGAATTTAATCAGAATATTTCAGACATATATAATCGAAGGGTAAATTACAACCACCCATGGTCAAATTACGAAAAAATTTGTTTAGGTAATTAACAAGCACCCCTCACCTATATATATCTTCTTACATGTCCATCCTTGAGGTTTCAAATTCAGTGAAATCTTCTAAATTATATGCAATATTCTACATTTTGAAGCTAGATGATCATAAGATGTGTTTTTTGGTTTGTACATATATCAAATTGTGGTGCATCAGAAACTATATTTTTGCACAAAACGAGTACAAACTAGAGAACACTCCCAGGAATCTAGATGATTATATATGTTGAATTTAACACCATAAGGATTTGGGATGTAAGAAGATTCATAGTTAAAGGGTAGATGTAACTATCCAAAGAGAAGAAAGTTTTTCATAATTTAATCATACATCTGGTTGTAATTTACCCATAATAGAATTCAGGCACATGGATTAGTACCAAAAAAGAAAGAAAAAAAATCATTGGCAAGTTCACAGAGTTATAGTGGAATTAAAATGAAACAATTGTTTTCCAGAAGGGGAAGCGGGTAGACAGACAACACATGTATATACAGTATGATTAATCGCAAACTGAAAAAACGAGAGGTTCGTATGATTATAGTTGTGCAGAGAACTAACCTGAAGGTGCGCTGAAGGTACTTTACTTGTGGTGGATTGATCAGGAATGCAAAAATGAAATGAGGTACGTATATATGGAATTGGTGTAGTCGGTGGGGATTTTTTCCATTCTCCAAGTCAACTTTTTACAGTACTCCTTCTGAGGCCTGCATTACGCGGACTACTACTTGTCGTTGTTCATTTGCAGCTGGCTCCTCTCATTATATTAATAGAGTCTCAGCTGGGGGGCCCACACACTAATTCATTGCGTCTTCCCGGAAGCATAACTGATTGGTGTAGGAGGATGGTCCCAATCACTCGGTGGGTCCCCAAGATTATATCAAGAAGAAGGAAAATTACGGTAAATTACGAAAAAATCCCTCATATTTGAGTAATTATAATTAACCTCCTTAATTATGAATTTTCTTACACTTTCATTCTTGCAGTTTCAAATTTGATGGAGCTAGCCTTCTAGATTATGTGATGCATGAATCCTATTGTTTGTCCTCGTTTTACCCCATTCGAGTCCCATGTTTTGAAATAGATAATCAAATGATGTGTCATTTGGCTTGTAAATATCCATTTCTGGTTCAAGTGAAACTGCATTTTTACACAAAACGAATAAAAACTAGACAACATTCCACAAAATTTAGAAGATTATGTTAAATTTGACACCATAAGGGTGAGCATGTAAGGGTGTTCATAGTTGAGTTAGGGGTGGTTGTTACTCAACAAAAGATTTTTTTTTATAATTTGACCATACTCAGGGGGTGATCTTAATTTACCCTGAAAAGAATAAACATTTCTTTAATATTACTTTTGCCCCCTCATTTTTTCTTAAATATGTGTTTTAATCTTTAATTTTTTTTTTGTTTCTTCTCTATATAGGGATGGCAAAAAAACCCGAACCGCTAGCTATCCGCGGGTATCCGCTCCGTTTAAAACCCGTTACCGAAACCATTAGGGTTTGGTAATGGTTTTGGTAAAAGAAAAGAAAACCGTCATGGTTTTGGTATGGTTCTGGTTTTACCTTTGCGGTCATGGGTACCCGACCATTTAATATATATATATATATATATATATTATTTCAACAATATGAATAAACAAATGGCAAAATTTTAAATATAGTATTAAATAATTTAGGGAGGGTATATTTGTATAATTTACTTTTTTTTCTTTTCTTTTTTTCTTCCTCTTTTCTGTGAGTTACTTAAACGTTATCGGATCTAAAGTTATTTTTTATTACCGTAATTTAAATGGTAAATGGGTACCCGTGGATACCCGGATATTCGTGGTAATGGTTGTGGTATTTTCATCAACTTTTTAAAAGGGTTTGGTACGGTCATGGTTTGAGCTATATTAAATGGTAATGGTTCTGGTATTGCACTTTTTCGAGGGTACCCGCTCCGCTGCCATCCCTATCTCTATAATCTTATATAAATTATAGATATTTATATCGTATTTGATATAACAATCTAGAATAAAATATTTAGAACTTGTATTATTTTAAATAAAATTGGATGAAATCAGCAAAATTCAAAGTTTCTATTTCGATTTAAAGCCCTGGTCCAATGAATTGTAAAAATCGTTATTGCAACTAAAAACATACATTATAGTAAACTCTTTTTATTAATGCCAGTCTAAACTTTCGAACGTGTAGATGTTACCACCAGGTAATATACAACCACGTCACATGCGCCAAATTGAAATTATTTAATAAATTGTTTTTATATCATCGTTTTATTGGAATATGCCTTGTAGATACTATTTGGATGAAATAATATCAAAATCTCGTATTTGTATTGTGTGACTAGTTGAATTAAACAATTTGTTTTCTGTAGCAACTAGCATTTGGTCCCGGTCAGATTTTTGCTCGGTGTTGCAAGAGTCCAATTAGGTGAACTCTCTAATTCATCTTTTGCTTATTTTCACTTAATTTTGTGGGTTTTAAATATATATATTTTAAAAAAAAAAATCGGTAAGTAATTCAAGGATTCATATATGTTTTAATTTTTTTTATTTTGTTAAATTCCATGTTGGTTATATGAAATCATCCAATTTAGGCGGAGCCCAGCACGTGAGAATACAAACTCCACATTGATATAATATTATTCAATTTGGGTCAAGCTAAATTAATTTTAATCTTGAATTTCACTAAAAAAACCTTATACCAATAGAGTTATTATCCTTATTTTATTAACCAATGACTTTCCCATATTAAAACCGATTTGAGACTTGACTTACACCCTAACAGTTTACTAACTCGATTTTATTTATATCGAATAATTTGGATTGAAATAGGATACTCAATATGCATGGGAGTCAAGTATCCACGTATGCCATATACCCTCTTCTGTGAAATTGTGGAAGAAATTGATAATATTTTATTTTCCGTTAATAATTTAACATCAAACAAGAAAGAGAAATAAAACTCACGATTTCCGTTATTTCCACGTCACTGTGAAATTACTCCAAAAAATAGTAACCAATACAAAAATAATTTTAGTAATGATGAAGGAACAATTGAACATATGGGGAAATTTATGTTGCTTCCTGGAAGAAGGCGGTTAAAACGACGTCACAATTCTGAATACGCGGCCTTGTTATACAAACCTTCGATTTTGCACTTATTTACAGAAAAGCCATTTGACGTGTTTATTGTTACGAGTACGGAATGGGCCCCCCCTCCCGCCCATGGTTCCTTTTGGCTGCTCTTTTGTCTTGTAGCTTTTAGTTGGCAACTATTATTATATACAAATTAATTACTCATTAAAAATTATTAAGCAAGTAAATAAATATTCCATGTAATCTATTAATCTTTGCCTCAATTTCATCATTTTTTTCTCCAAATTTTTTTTATGTACTTCCAAGAAAATAATACTATACTTTACATATACCAACATAATAATATATATAAATAAATATATTTGAAGAAAATATTAATGGAAAATTATCCATAATTAGAAGAGAAAAAAATAAAGTAAAGTAATTACAAAGATGCCCATACGGTTCTTAAATAAAAAATAACAAAAAAAAATAATGACGTAGATGCATCAACAAAAATAGAAATAACAAAGAAAGTGGACAACAGTTCAATAGAGATGAGAAAAAAAATAAGTAGAATTTTTTTTTTACAAAAATGTTGTTGTTGTTGACTAAAGTTGCCCTATCGTTAACTCTTTTATATATAAGATATTTTCCTATAATCTCCAACAAACCCAAATTGTCCTGTTTAAACACTAAAACACAACCTTAATTTGTGGTTTCAAGAAACAAATAGCTCGAGCTTTAATCTTATTTAGTGACTAAACAACTAATTAAGAGAATTAAAGGAAAGTCGTGTGTCCCCCCAAACTTATTACACAAGCTTGGACATTTTAATTGTATATAAATATATGTGTGTGTATATACATAAGAACTACGATAATTAGAAGAACAAGGAAAAGTGTATAAAAATAGAAAAAAGTACAAATGTAAATGAATATTTAGTTTATTTTTGTGATGTTAGATTTTGGAAAGTCAAGTTTGAATCGCAATTGAATTAATTAACCGACCCGGAATAATATATAGTACATCAGGGTCCGGGTCTACGCGTTTCCGAGGGGCATTTTCGTAGTAAAATCATAAATGAATGGCATTTATTTCCCAATTAAGAACTGCCCAGCATTAAATCAAACACTAAAAATGCACTCCACATTGTTCATTTCATTTCAGCACAAACACAGCTTTCTCTCTCTCTCTCTCTCTCTCTCTCTCTCTCTCTCTAGAACAACACAGCTGAAAAATCTGCGCAGGTATGCAGCTACTATACGGATACAGTTTAGTAATTTCTTCAAGCACATGATCTTTGTTTCTGTAGTTTTAAATTTCCTTTTAATTTTTTTTTTCTAGGTTGAATTTGTGAATTGTGGTATTTGAATTGTGTATGAGTAAGGGGTTGAAATTCATGTTCTACCAAATTATGCTTTTGCTTTTACAGATTTCGATATGTTTGTTAAATTTTTATTTAATTTTATGTCTTCGTTTTGCTTCTCTTGTGAGTTGTTGAAGCATGTGCTTCTTTCTTCTCTGTTTTTCAATTAGATATTTCCTGTTTAATTTGAATTCACCCCCAATAATCACATCTCAAGTATGCTGTAGATTTAGTTCTTGTCCTTGAAGAATTAGACATGTAGATTTAATTTGTTCTGATTTTTCCATTAATTTAGTTGTTCTGAGGTGTTGACTAGCTGACATCTGTTTGACTTTTTGGGTCATGTTCTTGGTATATTAGGGTCCTGTTAAAGCTTCCAATCTGATTTTTTTCCCCATTTTGTGTCTGTATTTTATAAATGATTTACAGATTTAGTAGTGCATCTTCGTTTCACTTGTTTTAGTTTCTTTAGTGCATATATCGAACTTGCTCGTGGTTTGTATTCTGGATTTTATGAACTATATAATTTGCTCATGGTGAAAGTGGAAGCGGCTAAGAAAAAATAATCGAAATTCATCATCGAGGAAGTTGCTCTTTGTGGCTGGTGGTTTGTACTGAAGAAATGCATTGACCCGTTCGTTCTTTCTATTGGCAGATCTTGTTGCTTCTCGTATTCTACCACAAAGTCTGCTCTTGTTTGAGTGGATGTAGCAAAAATACGTGTCATTGCTGCTTTTCTTGAGATGCAAGCATCCCGAGAATCAAAAAAATCCACCCATAACCAAACTCATTACAATCAACCGATGCCGCAGATTAACCCCTACGGCTTTTCTTCTCTCCAAGCTCTGAACAATGACTCGACCGATAGCAAAAGCCAGGGGACTGAAGTTACATTCCAAGCTTACAACGAACAGTTCTTCACTCTCGAATCTACCCCGGCAGCTGATTACATCGCTTACAATTCACCTTCAACTATAAGCGTCTCTTCCAACAGAAGCCCCTTCTCTCCACAAGGCTCTCACTCGTACGCATCTGATCTCCACCCTCCATCCGATAACACATGCAGCTCACCCCTGAGTGGTTCCTCTGAGTTTGACGATGAAAACAAGCTGTTACGCGCACTATGGGTATTGAGAAACGAACTGCTCGGACCCGAATCCGAAACCGATGACAGTGGCTCCTTCAATGGCATATTGGCTCAACCTTCTCCCTTCACAAAATACAACAGAGTACTCGAAATGGCGCCCCACATGGACCTGAACCAACTGCTCTTTGCATGTGCTGAAATAGTGTCGGAAGTTGACACCGTCCCGTTCTCAGACAGACAGGTGGCGGTTTCTGCGGCCGAAGCTTTGATGGACATATTGGAAAAGATGGTGTCAGTTTCTGGCGAGCCTTCACAGAGGTTAGGTGCGTATATGTTGGAAGGACTTAGGGCGAGGCTGTTATCCTCGGGGAGCATAATCTACAAAAAGCTGAAGTGTAAAGAGCCGACGGGTTCCGAACTAATGTCTTACATGCACGTGCTTTTCCAAATCTGCCCTTACTACAAGTTCGCCTACATGTCTGCTAACGTAGTCATAGGTGAAGCAATGGAGAACGAAAACAGGATCCATGTAATAGATTTCCAAATTGCGCAGGGTAGTCAGTGGGTGTCGTTCATCCAGGCTCTCTCACGTAGGCCGGGGGGCCCACCGTATATTCGCATTACAGGTATAGACGATTCTCAATCTGCTTACGCTCGAAACGGAGGGTTGGATTTAGTCGGCCAGAGGCTAGTGCAAGTTGCCGAGTCTTGCGGGGTGCCGTTGGAATTTCACGGAGCGGGTATGTCAGGGTGCGAGGTTCAGCTCGAGAGTCTCGGAATTCGAAATGGGGAAGCGTTGGCCGTGAATTTTCCGTACATACTCCACCACATGCCAGACGAGAGTGTCAGCACTACGAACCACCGCGACCGCTTACTCAGGCTGGTCAAGAGCTTGTCTCCTAAAGTCGTGACACTCGTCGAACAAGAATCGAACACGAACACTGCAAATTTCGTTCAAAGATTCTGCGAGACTTTGGATTTCTACACGGCCATGTTTGAGTCGATTGATGCTGCACGCGCGAGGGACGATAGGCAGAGGATTAGTGCGGAGGAGCACTGTGTGGCGAAGGATATTGTAAACATTTTGGCTTGTGAGGGTATGGAGAGAGTAGAAAGGCACGAGGTTTTCGGAAAGTGGAGATTGAGGCTAACTATGGCTGGGTTTACTCCGGTGCAGTTGAGTTCGTCGGTTAGTGATGCGGTTAGGGATATGCTCAAGGAATACAGCTCGAATTACAGATTGGCGGAGGGGAATGGTGCTTTGTATCTCGGATGGAAGAACAGAGCTTTGTCTACTTCTTCTGCATGGAGATAAATTATACATACATACAATATATATATAAGTATGTATGTATGTATGTATGTATGTATGATCAGAAAGGGAGAGGAGGAAATAGTGAGGTAAAACACTTGTAGATTTATGGTATAGAGCACTTTTTTTTATTTACTTGTAAAGTGAATTTGCTGTTGTGTTTTGTGCTGCTTTTATTTGGAGGTAATTGGAAAGCTCTTCTGACAGAGCCTAGTTCTGACTTGGTCAACCCTTTTTTTTTTTTTTTTTTAATTGTACGGAGTCATAGGAAGATTGGTACAGACATTGCAACCAAGTACAATGTTGAATATTATTTATTAATAATTGAATCTCCTTTTTTGTTTTTCTTTGATTATTCTTCTCTTGTAGCACATGCCACGATGCTAGTTGGAAACTTCCAATAATAAAAAGTAGGGATTATTTCACAAAGGTCCCCATTAGACAAGTTAGTTACATTAGGTCCAAAAAAATTATCAATTTTTAGGTCAAAAAAAAATTATCAATTTTAAGATAAATCTAAAACGTTTTTTATTAGTTAAAAAAAGTAAAGTTTTACCATTATACCCTTTAATTATTTATTCAACCCTAATTTCATTGTGTACAATAATCACAGCCTCTTACTCAAAAATAATAAATAAAAATCACAGTCTCTTATTCGTCATCTTACCGTCCCCTTCCACCACCGCCACCACCATATACACCACGCTCCGAGCAACTCCACCTTCATCCACCGCCGCCGCGCCGTCGTCGGAGAGGAATGTCTCCGCCGCTGAGATGGTAGCAGAGTGGTGGTCGGGAGGCACGAGATTCTGATTCGACCGTGGCTGCATCCGGATCCGGCGGAGGAAAAAAGAAAAAAAACCATTTCATTTCACTCTTTAATTTCTTCATTTCATTTTATTGATGATTTACAATATTACTCTGTGGGGATGCAGTGTGGTGGGGCTGAATTTGGACTATGCAGTGTGGGGGTTTGTGAAGCAATTGGCTTATCTAACCAATCACAATCGTGTCCGTTGGATTACGAAAGTCATCCACTTCGTCGTAAATGTTTCCAGTACCAACTCAGAAAGTTTGCGGTCCAACATCTCCTGGAACTTCAAATTCTACAGTCCCGTCGTTTTTAACGGTAGCTATTCTGTTCAACAATGTTAATTGCAGTGTTTTAAATACTTCACGATATCCCATCTATTATTCTGATTAAAAATCTCAGAAGCAGTTTTTTTAATTCTTCGAAATCTCGAAGAGTAGACATCAAAGGAAATTCTCTAAAAATATTTTCCTACATAACAACTGCCTTAGGTTTCGTAGTCCGACAAATAGCAATAACTTCTCCGATAAATTTTCCGGATGTCATGGACTTGCTACGAAGACGTAATCCAACAATTATGCAGAGCATGAACAATTGATTACACTACTGAAAGGGGATATTTATTTACCTTCTGCTGGACATAAATTTGATCATAGAAAATCTGAGCAGCATCTTCGGCGAGTATGTCGTCGTGTTTTTGCATCGTCTCGGTCTTGGATCAATCCAACACAACACAATTGTGAAGCAATTGGCTAGCGATGGGAAATGTGGAATGGTTTTTAATAATTAGTTACAGCATTTTATAGTCGTTTTCAATAATTATGTCATTATTTTTAAGTGGTTTTCGATATTTTACATAAACCATTATAAAAATTTGTACAAAATTATAGTGGTTTTCAATAATTATTGTACAGATTTTTATATAACTCTATATACAGAGTGGTTTTTATGTTGACATAGTTGTTATACAGAGTGATTTTCAAGTTTATATCGTTGCTATACATAGTGGTTTTCATGTTATATAGTTGTTATATAAAATGGTTTTCATGTTTATATAACTGTTTATACAGAGTGTTTTTTTTTTTTTTTTGATTAAAATGTAAATATTATAAATCAAAAAAAGTCGTAGACAATTACAACGGACATACCCGAGGAAATTGCATAACCTAATGCAAAAAGCAAGAGAAATAAACTAACATAAAAGCAATACAGAGTGGTTTTCATATTTATATAAAGTGGTTTTTATTTAAACAAACTGGAAAAAAAACCATTTTAAAAAAAATTCGAAATTAAGAAAACAGAAAAACCATGAATAAACGAAAATAAAAATAAACCCATTTTTTTAAATTAAAATAAAGAACATGAAAAATATAAATAAGAAAAAAGAAATATAAAATAAAAAACCGAAAATAAAAAAAATAAAAAATTAGAATAATTACAAAATTTTCTTTTAAATCGAAAAAAAAAACCATTAGACAAAACAAAAAAGAAAAGGAAAAAAAACTGAATTGAGGTGATGAGGGGAATAATGTTTGGAGAAGATTTGGGTGTAGATTATGGGTATAATTTTTTTTTTAAAATTAAATAATTATACTAATTAATAATTAGTTAGGGGTGGAAATTGGAACGGAATTTCCAAATTCCGCCAATTCCGATCCGAAAATATCCGAATTTGGAACCCATTTTTTCATTCCAATTTTCGATATTCCGATTTCCGATTTTTTCGATTATTTTTGAAATGGAATTGGAATTACATATAAAATTATTGGAAATTCTGATTTCCGATCCGATTTTATTTCCGAAATATATAATGTATGATATATATTATATAAAAATATAAATGTTATGATATATGCTTATATGGTTTCTATTCATATTTTGCAAGAACTATATTTGCTTTGATAAACTGATTATGTTGTTTTTACAAGTGTTTAGATTTCATCTTATTGATCTTTGTTTTGAATTCTTGCATTTTGCCGGAAAATTAAGAAAATATTAGGTAGAAAAATCTTTTTTTTTTTTTTTTGAGTAAAGGAAAAAAATATATTTAAATTACCATTATTTTCGATTTGGAACAACAAATTAAGAATTAATGCAATTTTCGAAAATTCCGAACTTCCGCCGGTTTCGAGGTATTCCAAATTGGAATGGATTTTGAAATTCCGATTTTTTTGGAACGGAAATTGGAACCTATTTCTAACTTCCGAAAAAAATTGGAAAATTTCCGAATAAGGTATTTTCGATCCATTCCGTCCGATTTACACCCCTGTAATTAGTGGGGGCATATATGGTTTTTCAGGCCCATTGAATTTATCTCAAATATTATTTATAAATAAAGGATTTATTAATAATTAAATCACAATGAAAGATGTTTGGCATATAGCCCCTAAAAAGTAAATATTATGATTATTCCAATTTCTTAAGTTGAAAAACTAGAATAACTGAATAAGAACGACACACGGAAACGGTGATACCGAAAAATAGCATGTCCGAAAATTGGGGATATCGGAGTTTGGGGGAAACGTGTAGATATATTAAATATAGAGGTATATTTATCAATATGCTATATGAACATATATAAATTTTTGTTTATATGTAAATTGCTTTTATATATTTTCTTAGAAACATATTCAAAATAAATTTATATGCAATTCATAATTAAAACATGCAAATAATTAGGGAAACAATATTCAAATAAATTTTTTTATTTTGTAGAAATTGTAAAATAACCCATAAGACGTTCGACATATGTCCTGCTCGGGCATCGAATACAAAACGTGTTCGGAATACAGAAACATTACAGAATTGAAGTTTCCCTGCTTCAGAGACGGAAACCATAATTCAACAAAATCGTAGCAAGGTATTTATTAGGTAGAATTGAGTTTAATGAAAATTTTAATTAATAAGAACTAATAAATAAATAAATAAATAAAAAGCAAATATAATTTTATTTCTTTTTTTTGCTGTGGGGACCACCACCACCCCGTAGCAAATCTTGGAGAAATCTCTATCTTCCCTTTTCCTTATAAATCTCCAACTCATATTTAAATACCATGAAGAGAGAGAGAGAGAGAGAGAGAGAGTTGAAGACGAGTCTAACGGAAATAAAGTATTATATATATTCTGGACTCTACTGCATGTCCATCAACGTAAGGTAACTTATCAAGTTTGGAGCTGATATATATGCTAATATTAATTAATTAAATAATTGAGTTACCAAATATCAATTCCGAATCGAACTCCGATATATAGATAACAACTCTCTATAAATAAGGATTTAGTTTCAGAAGAAAATTTAATTAAACTTGTTTCTCGGCAGTAATTATTAGTTTTGTTATTCTGTTCTTCCATTCTCCGATATGTTCTCTTCTTCTTCTTCCCGGACGACCACCGCCATGGACGGCGGCGAAGAAGGTGTTCAATCCGAATCTTTGCTGATATGTTTGGGTACTCTCCACTTTTCAAAAAACGGCATTATTACGAAAGAAAACACCCCCATCGACACCAACGCCCCGTCGTCGGCCTCCAAACCCTGCGGCGCCATTCCATCTCTGAAAAACCCCGCCGTCGCCGCCGCTGCCACAACTTTTCGGCTCGACACCAGCGCCCCGCCGTCTTCATCGTTGGGCTCCAAACCCTACACCGTCATCCCAACCCTGAAAGAAAACGCCGCCACCAAGGCCACGTCGTCTTCATCGTCGGCCTTCAAACCCTGCGGCGCCAGTCCAACTCTCAAACACCCCGCCGTCGCCGCCGCTGCCACAACTTTTCGCTTCGACACCTTCGCCCCGTCGTCTTCATCGTCGGGCTCCAAACCCTACACCGTCATCCCAACCCTGAAAGAAAACGCCGCCCCCGCCGTCGCCGCCGTCACCACCACTTCTCGGCTCGACACCAACGCCCCGTCGTCTTCATCGTCGGGCTCCAAACCCTACAGCGTCATGCCAACTCTTGAAAGAGACGCCGCCACCTCCACCGCCGTCGACGCGGAACCAGAGAATATCAAGAACCAACGGCGTTGGCCCCAAGAAACCATCTCCGGCAACAGCAGCCCGCATTGGGTGTCAGAAAACATCTGGAGCGATCCCCGCTTCACTACTGGTAAATTACTTCTCCACCCTTCAATCTCTCTCATTCGTTAATGGAGTTTGATAAATTCAATTAATCATTTATTTTAATTAATTTGCAGGACAAGCCCCTATTCCAATCGTGGCTCCTCCGACCGTCTCCACAGCTAACAAACCACCA